TGTTGGGTTGATGGTTGGACTCGATAATCCTCAAGGTCTTTTCCAACCTTTATGATTCTATGATTCTATGAGTTGTGATGAATTCTTTTGCAGTTTCAAGTATGTTTAAACAGGATTTATGCTGACAGGAGCTGTAATTCATACTGTACCCTCTGAATTTTCCAATTCAATTCTTGTATCTAGAATGTTTTTCTGTGTTAGAGTCCATAGATAAAATTATGTCACTGTAGAGGTCGTCTCTCGTAATGCTCTGTGTCTTGCCTTACTGGGACGTTGCTGTCCCTGCTGTCTAAGTGGCTTAACAGCTGTGAAACAGTTGCTGAACTCCTTCCCAGATTTCCCCTCGTACGCTGGGGGAAGCAGTAGTCTATCCCCTAAGTCACTGTGCTGCTGGTTCACCGGAATGTATCCCTTAGTAGTTGCATTACCTACGCAGTAGGAATGAGAATCTCAGGGAGGGCATGCAGAAAGAAAGTACAGACAGCTGTGGGACAGCAATCTCAACAGCTGTCTGATTTTTATCAGCCTCTGTGTTGGCTTTGGATTTTATTTCATTTGATTCCATGACGAGAAAAATACTTTTTCTTAGTTTGGTGGCTTATTGTAAGATTTAGAACTTGAGTTTCAATAGTTAACTTGAGTTTTTAGTTCTTATAAGTGCTAATCTTTAAAGTACAAATAATCCCATTCTGAAAAGCAGTTTTGGCAAGATGTGAGAGTAAAGTCACTAATCTTAGCTGAGTAATTCAGAAACCTAAAGTCAGACATTCAAATCCCAAAACATTAACTGTTTTTTAGCATATAATTTCAGCAAAAATACAGTATTAATCATTCAGCTGTTCTTGTGTAGTGCGGTAGCTAGCAGGGAATAGTAAACAGAGCGGAAGTAGGATGCTCTATGAAAATTCCTTTTTCCAGTCATTGTTACCTCTTCTTTCTGTCAAGGATCTGTCCAAGGAGCTGTCCCGATGTAGTTATTAAAATGTGCATTTTTTTTTCTCATTTTCTGTGTTCTATTTTTCAATACTGTCATTTGTGTCTCTTCTTGCATCTTAACATGCAGGAATATGGTGAACACTCTCTGTCCTTTTCTGCCTTTACTTGCTGCAACCATTGCTGGTATTCTTTATCTGAGGGATTTTTTTTGTTAACAGCATTTTAAAGGTTTAATTCATACTTTCACGCCACTATTGCTTTTTCTAGCAAATTGCCTTCAAGAACCTCGTTCAGCGAAACCGTCAAGCAGAACAACAGGCAAATCGACCGCCACCTTCCAATTCTGTCATCCATTTGCCATTTATCATCGTGAACACCAGCAAGAAGACAGTGATTGACTGTAGTATTTCAAATGACAAGTGAGTTAACAAAGTGTTCTATCTGGCTTTTGGTACAGCTATGAGTTTTATGTCCATGCTAAAGTGTTCATCTAGATATGTTAAAAATGAAATCCAAATAAATTTACTTGTGCCTTTTGTAGACTGAGAACATGCATTTCAGATAGGTAACACTTAGTCGTGTTGAATAGAAACAGAGTTTTCTTTTTAATAAATAGAATAATTACGTTCACATTTAATAACTTTTTTAAGACTTACTATCTGGAGATGTTAGAAGCAAAGTAAGGCAGCTCTGCTGAAGTTTGATATAATACTTTACCAAGTAGTGTTTTCCTTTGGCTTTAACATGATGAAGTGCAGCCAGCAGACTTGAAAATGGATTTTGCTTTCAGAACTGCTGTTCTCTACTTTTGGTTCAAAAAGCTAGGTTTTTAATCTGCTAAATAAAAGCTGAATGTAGCATTGGTTTCTACTTGCACTATTAGCTTACTAGAAAAGCTTAAAAACACGGAAAAAAAATTACACAGTGGGCAGAGGAATGGGATTAAAGAAAAAATTATCAAACATGCAAAATGTTTAATTAAAACTCTGTATCTGTTAAAGCTGTTAATGATTTATATACTGTGTATAATTACAGTTTTAGTCGCTTGCTATCAAATACATAAATCTTGAAAAATTTGATTGCTTAATGTGATATGTCACTAACACTGTGTGTTAAGCTTTTGAAATGCTGCAATTTCTGAAACTGGAAAGTCAGTTAAAGTAATTGAAGCTAATTGAGATGTTTTTTCCTCTCCAGGTTTGAATATCTATTTAATTTTGATAATACTTTTGAAATTCATGATGATATAGAAGTACTAAAACGAATGGGAATGGCTTGTGGGCTAGAATCTGGAAGCTGTTCAGCAGAGGACCTAAAAATTGCAAGGAGTTTGGTTCCTAAAGCTCTGGAACCATATGTGACAGGTTAGTTACTCCAGGAAGAGTTGTTTTGTTTTCCTCCTTAATATGGGACTCAAGAAAAAAACGTGAAAATATCTAAGATCAGTTATTTTCCACTGGTTTGTGGTGAAGATTTCTAACAGTTTCTCAAACGTATGTGCTTTTTAGTGTACCTTAGGGAACAAATAACATAGAGGTTCATAGAGAATGGGCTGTTGCTCTTCGCAGAACCACGTTTTGCATTATACCACACAAGTAGATCTTTGCAGTGTGTAATTCTTTCAAGAGGACAGTATTTATAGTTGATGCACCTGCAAAGGCAAAAAGTGGTTATGGCTTCATTTTATATTGTTTTATCATTTTCATTATATAAGACATCTGACTTGCTCACTTCAAAATAAAATGGTTTTTTTAATGTATTTTGAAATATTGCTGTTGCACTACCTTCTTATTTTTTAATTATGCTATTTTGGATATAGTACATCAATATGTTTTGTTGTTTTGGTTACAAGACTCCTTTTCTGGACTTTAAAAGGATTAAGCATTTCCACTGAATTAGATGAATGTGTTTTGAAGTATTCTTGCAATACGTATTGTTTGTTTTACAGAAATGGCTCAGGGATCAATCAGCAGCGTATATGTCACATCTTCATCAGGTTCTGCATCAAATGGCACAAGATTTTCAGCCAGGTGAGATGAAATTATCAGTTAGTTTTTAAAATCTGTGATCATCAAAGAAACTTAATTAGAGATTAAATACTTCATGAAACAAGTTCTGTTTTGATCAGTGAGGATATGTGTTTAAGTTTATTCTCAGACTTTTACTTGAGTAGTGGTGGTTCTTACCAGTGTCATTAAAGAAATCTTTTCCTGTATAGTGGAAAAGAAATTGATTAGACTGCTGTTAATCTTGAATGTATTATTTTTGTTTAGTTTTGCGTTTGTGACAAGAAAACAGATACTTCCCTAAAGATTTAATATAGGCAAGATTCTCCCTTGGTCATTAGTGTCTAACTTAAAAAAAGTTTTTTGTCTTTTGGTTTTAAACAGCATCAGAAGCTGGTAGAGTGATAAACCGTAACTTGTATTTAACTTTGTGTGGACATATGTCATTTCTGAACTTAGCTATTATTTTTCTCTTGCTGTATAAGACACTTTTCTGTATGTAGTCACTACTTGCTAGTTTCCTGCTGTTGCATTAATCAAAAAGATGTCCTGTGAGCTCTACTAAGTTGTAAAATGAGTCAAATATCATTGAAATGTTTGACATTGTTAATGAATATTTGAATCGAGCAAGCTGATTAGCTGAACAAATTATCTGCAAAAGTGTTCATTTTCTACCAGTTGTTTCTGTTGTGTCCAGAAACTTAGCCTTATCTGAAAAGTCAGGTAAACTTCTGTTGTACGTGTCATGCAACTAATCCAGTCTGGGCACTTTTAGAATTGCAGAATCGTTTGGGTTGGAAGGGATCTTCAAAGATCATCTAGTCTGCTCCTCCTGCCATGGGCAAGGACATCTTTCACTAGATCAGGTTGCTCAAAGCTCCGTCCAACCTGACCTTGAACACTTCCAGGGATGGGGCATCCACAACTTCTGTAGGCAACCTGTTCCACTGTCTCACCACTCTCATCGTAAAAAATTTCTTCCTTATATCCAATCTAAACCTACCCTCTTTCTGTTCAAAACCGTTGCCGCTTGTCTGTCACTGCAGGCCCTGGTAAAACATCCTTCTCCGTATTTCTTATAAGCTCCCTTCAAGTACTGAAAGCCACAATAAGGTCTCCCTGGAGCCTTCTCTTCTCCAGGTTGAACAACCCCAACTCTTCTCAGCCTTTCTTCATAGGAGAGGTGTTCCAGCTCTCTGACCATTTTCATGGCCCTCTTCTGGACCTGCTCTACCAGGTCAACATCTGTCTTGTACTGGGGACCCCAGAGTTGGCTGCAGTGCTCTGGGTGGGGTCTCATGAGAGTGGAGTAGAGAGAGAGAATCACTTCCCTCGACCTGCTGGCCTCACTTCTTTTGATGCAGCCCAGGATATGATTGACTTTCTGGACTGCGAGCGCACATTGCCGGCTCATGTCCAATTTTTCGTCCACCAGTATTCCCAAGTCCTTCTCCACAGGGCTGCTTTCAATCCCTTCATCCCCCAGTCTGTGCTGATACTGGGGATTGCCCCGACCCAGGTGCAGGACCTTGCACTTGGCCGTGTTGAACTTCATGAGGTTTGCATGGGCCCACTCCTCAAGCCTGTCAAGGTCCCTCTGGATGGCATAGGGATGCCCTCAAGAGTATCAGCCGTACCACTCGGCTTGGTGTCATCCACAACCTTACTGAGGGTGCACTCAACCTCACTGTTTGTCATTAATGAAGATACTAAATAGTATTGGTCCCAGTATGGACCCTTGAGGGACACCAGTCGTTACTGGTTTCTATTTGGACATTGAGCTGTTGACTGTAACTCTTTGGTCGTGACCATCCAGCCAATTTCTTACTCATCAAATAGTCCATCCGTCAAACTCTTATCTCTCCAATTTAGAGGTAAAAATGTTGTGGGGGACTGTATCAAAGCCTTCCAGAAGCCCAGGTAGATTACTTCTGTAGCTCTTCCTTTGTTCATTGATGCATTCACTCCATCGTAGAAGGCCACTGGATTAGTCAGGCACAATTTGCCCTTGGTGAAGCAATGTTTGCTGTCTCTAATCACCTCCCTGTCTTCCATATGCTTCAACATAACTTCCAGGAGGATCTGTTCCATGATTTTAGCGGACACTGAGGTGAGGCTGGAAAGGAGAGGGCAAGTTCTAGATTACTTTGGCTCTTTCCACAACAATGACTGTTCTATGTCAGAATAACTGGCAGGCTCTGCCTTGGAAATTATTTGGGAAATTGCTATACCATTGAAATTCTTGAGGAAGTCCTAATTTTTAGGACATTCCTTAAGCCATTTGTGTTTAAAGGCAAAAATCCTGTATTGATGCAATTTCTTTAGACAAGGAAATACAGCTTTATTCTTGTTCTCTGAAGTCTTCTGGCAGCTTTTTCTCACCCATCTGCCTTCCGTCAGAGTTGGAAGGAGGTCCTTCTAAAGATATAGTATCTAGCTTACTTTAAAAGGCTAATGCAATTACATTTTTAAAGCTTTTTTTTAAAAAAAAAAAAACCTTTTTGTAGATGATAGGCTTACTTGAATGCAAAGCAAAAAAAAAAAAAGGAAATAACTCACAAGGGTAACAGTTAAGCTCAGGGATGTGCGGGACTAGCAACAGTGAGGGGCGTGGTTTATGCTCCAGCCCAGAAAAAAAAACTGTCCAAAAAAGTGTGGGGAATTCTGCCTGTTTTGTGCTAGGGAACTGAAGCTTGAGTGAGAATACTGCCAAAATATCTTTAGAGAAGCAGAACTTTGACGGTACACAAAATCTCCTGTTTTCACTAAGGTTCCTTCTGTGATAATGAGCATGGTGTTAGTGAAAAAGAGCCCATGTATTTTTAAGACTTTGAAATTTGAATAGGTCACTACTAGCCGGAGGCCAATAGAAAACCAGAGGCTGACTGTGGTTCATTATCTTGGTGAGAAGCACAAGGCTCCTACCACTTCTGTTTCTTAGGATGTTGGAAAAGGGGAGAGACAAATTATGTTTAATTATAGTACATATATAAATATTCATAGCAATAGGAAACTACAAGATGTGTGGCTTTTCTGGTACCAAAAATTGCTGCCAAGGCAAATAAAGGCTGTAAATTTATTTAGCAAGTTCTCTAAAGAAAGTCTGCAGAAGGCTGAAGATGCTGTTACCAATGCCTTCATTCCAGTTTCTTTGTCTTACTAGGATACTCAGTTTATGAAATCCAGTTCCATTTTTATCAAAAAGAGGGGAGACAGGTTTTTGGGTTTGTACTTTCAAAGTTCACAGGAACACAAGAATAATCTCCTTTTTTTTTTCTTTCTTTGTTTTTGAAACTGCTTCTGCAGATAATTATGGAGAACCTGTTGTAAGTCATCTGACTACAGCTAGACAGATATCTTAGTATCTTTCTTTTGCATAAGTGTGCAGAACAGCAGAAACTCTTGAAAGTGTCATACTGGATATGTTTCCCATGTGAGCTTCTAGGGTGTGCTCCTGCAATTTCATTCTGTGTGATAATAGACCGTTGAATTAGCTCCATACAACAACAGTGTGCATGATTGATGATGTGCATTAGCGGGATTAAAAAATGACTAGCAAACATACTTTTGAAAGCAATTTTTTGATGGTGAATGTCTTTCAAGTTGGAGATACTATTTCTGTGATTTTTGGAAAAACATTTTGTCAAGAATTTGTGACCAAGTTTAATAGTTTATCTAACTATTGATAAATTAAACAATAAAAAAGATTGGCAAAATAGCAAGTAATGATGGAGGCAGGAATATTCTGGCTCTATTAAAACAAAAAACTTCGGCATACAGTTAATTCAAATAGGAACAAGACATTTCAGACCATATCTGCAATACATGTGTGTATTTTGGTGGAAAAAGAACACATTCAAGTAAGAAAGTGGATACTCTCTAAGAATCTACTTGCTGATCTAGGAGGTGGATTGCCAGTGTAGGGATACTCTCATGGAGGGAAAAATGAGATGCTGAAGAGGTTTTTTTAAACTAGAAAAGCGTAATGAGAAGAAAACAATTTCAAGTTAAAAATACAGCACATGTAGCAATGATAGTTTGCTATGTAATAACAAGGAATTAAGGAGAAGCTATTAATTCCTTGATTTTCCAAGTCTTTGAATCAAGATTAGTGCCTCTGATAGATACGATTCATTTGTGATTCAAGTGTGCAGTGCTACATAAAAATATTAAAGGGCTTAAATAGCTGTGTAGCCTTAATGCTAAATGGACTTTAGAAGAAACCTGGAAAGCATTCTTCTAAGGCACCTGTGAAAGGATTTCATCTTTATATTAAACCTGAAGGAAGAAACATAATAAGAACCATTTCAAAATTACTTCAATTGTTTCAGCTTTTGAGAAACAACTTAGACATATATTAAAGACAATTTATAAAGTAGCAATGGCAGATTCATTAAAGGAATGGAATAGATATATTGTATTTAAGAGCATAGTAAACTGAGAAGAATCATTAAGCAATGCCAACTGGCCTCTTTTTTTGTTTTTCAGTGACTTTTCCAATGGTGGAGATGGGATGTTGGCTACAAGTTCCAATGGATCTCAGTACAGTGGCTCCAGAGTTGAAACACCCGTTTCTTATGTTGGGGATGACGATGACGACGATGACGATTTTAATGAAAACGATGATGACGACTGATGCCCTTTGCCTGTAGACTATTTTTTGTTAAAATTCAGCAAGCTTCAGGAATAAATTGTTCTAGGGAGAAGTGTCTCAAATTACTTTGCCCCATCCCTCAAGGAGAATATTGGTAAGCAGTTCTGAGTTTAGAAATTGCACCTCTGATAAGCAAACAAGGATTGTTTTATGTAGGATATTTTTAAATGTGGTGTGGATGTGTGTTTTTGATACCGGTGTGTTAATGCAGAGCCTTTATTTACTCTTGTTTTAGGGGTTTTTGGTTTGTTGGTTGTTTTTTTGTTTGGTGTTTTTTTTTTTTTACTTGAAGGAAAATGGATTTTGCCCCAAATGTTCTTGCGAAGTTTGCTAAAGAAAATGTAGACACATCATTGAGAAATAAAATGCTATCCTTCTGTGGAAAATGAATACACTGAATGGCAATTTATTTGGAGTGTATTTTGATTATGCCACTTTTTGAGGGATAGTGAGCTAATGTAGTAGTGTTTTTGTTAATCACGCAGTGTCCAAAGAACCAAACAAGAAAGATACGTCCTACTTTTTTACATGTTAAATTCCAGAAATGTTGTTGTGAACTTATTTTCCCTTAAATTATATCTAACATTATGATTCCATCAAGTTTATATACTTTTCACTGTATGTTGGGACATATGAATTACAAAGTTTTTGGCAAATGTTTACTGCCAGTTGGTGCAGCTATATAAAATGTCTTGAAGGTTTGGAATGATTTATTGCTTATGGTAAAATTTGCCTGATTTCTTACAGGCAGACTTTGGAAACTTTTTATTATATAGTTGTTTACATACTTATAAGTCTATCATATAAAGACATGTACTGAAACAAATGTTTGTATTTGTTTCATAAGCATCTTCCTGTAATCTATTATAAAGTTGAAATTAAATATAGAGAATGTTTTAAGTTTTTTAACTCAAAATTTGTCAATCATTTTTAATAGTTCATTTTTATAAAAGGAATTTCAGGGCAGGTGGTAGTCTTTTTAAATTTATTCACAAACAATTAACTGCACAAATACTGTCAGCTGCCTATTCTAAGACAGTAGTCTTTTTATTGAAACACAAATAAACTTTTCTGTAATATTTTATGGAATATAAAGAGACTATAATTGTTTTACTTGTTTAACCTTGGCACTGTTAGTTTTTATTAATAAAACGCGCATGGGCATTTTTAACAAGCTCTGTGGTTTTTCTAATTTTAGGGTTATTTTAGAACATTTCACTTCCTTTCGTCACAAGACCTAGAATTAACTGTCTCAGGATACTGCATCTGCACTACAGAGGGCCCAGATTTTTTGCTTTGATTTAGTAATTTGTCCTTACGGCTCTTGGTAACTTACCGTGCAAAAAGCAATATCTTACCCTGTATACTCTCTTCTTTCACGTCTCCTGTTGCTCCTCAGAGTGTCAGGCCAATCTTAGTACTCCAATCCAGCTTCTCTGTTTAAAATCCCACACTTAACTGTCCTAACGTTTCATCCCATATTCCTCAGTCCTGGCTTTCTGTCATACATTCCCATGTCCTCAAAACAGGTCTTCATCTACTTTCTGTATACTTCCACCTTAAACCTTTTTGTTAGATCACATCCTCTGCTCTCACCTGAAAGCACAGGTTGCTGAACTGGCTCAGTCACTCTGCAGGCTGCTGTCAGTCAGGATTTGTTGCTTCCACAAACTCCGGGGAGTCTTTGCAAAGACAACTTACAGCCTAATAACTGCTCTGTCTGTGGTAAGGGCTCCTGGATGCACTTAAACCCTGTGGTAAATGTGAAGTGTGTTACCTGTTTTTTCTCCAAGGGGTTATGCCTTGACAAACCTTCTGTGGTAAGTGAATGTGGGTGCTTACTACAGAGTAGTTGATACGCGGTGAATGTTTTCTAACTGTATCAAACCTTGTTGTAATATGAGTGAACCAAGCAAATTACTTAATTTTATGGGCCTGGGAAGACCATTTTGGGGGGGCTAATCGAATGCTTTGCTTCTGACTGAAGATGTCATTCTTTGCAGTGCTAATGCTAGAAGCAAGGTTCTTGTTGCGGTTGAGTCAGCTGATTCAAATTATCTTTGCTGTTGAATGGCAGTTTTATCTGCAGAGCCCAAAAATAGTTATCAAGGAACTTTTGACAGTCCAAGGGGGTTATTCCAGTTTTCCCTTATGTTCTAAATCTCCAGTGTATGATCCAAGATCTACCTGCAAAGAGTGAGTACAGGGATGTTAGGTAAGGAAGGCTGAAAGCATCTGACAGTTTCCTTTGGGTTCTTATCAGTGGAGTAGACCTCAGATGAGACAAGGTCACGGTGGGAGTAAAAGTGTGGCAAAACATACATTTCAAAAGACGTTACTTTGCTTGCTTTTGGTTGCTGATGAATCTCTGAAATGGAATTTGAGAGTTTAAACAAGCAGCATTGGAGTGGTTTGGGGGAATGAATCTGTATTACCTTTGTTTTGGGAGAGCTTTCTAGTAAAGGCAACAATCAATAACAAGAGAAACTCTATTGACTTTTTAATTACTTGCTAGATTTCAGGCAGTTACCTGATCATAGTGTTTAGGTGAAGGAGGAGAAAAAAAAGAGAAAAGAGACCAATGGTGAGGGAGGAGGTGGAAATGAGGAAAGGAGACTTGAAGAAGTAGTAGTAGGAGGGAACCAGAAAAGAAGGAACGGGTCTTCACAGAGGAGCATAAAAAGAGAAGGTGTAAGTTGGGAAGAAGTCTTGAGAAAACAAGAGAAGACTAGTCAAAGACTACAAAAAAGACTAGTAGTAGAAACTTCATTAAAAAAAAAAAGGAAAGGCAGAGGAATGCATAGAACAGATGTAATAATGCCAGGCCTGGCGTGAAAGGACCTGGAAAGTGGCAGATAAGTTTAAACTATATGGTTCTTATCTCCAAAAAGGGTGGTACCACATGTTCAGATGGAAAAGGAAGATCAAAAGCAGGAACAGAATGTAAGAGGAAATCATGGACAGGAAATTGTTGAGGAAATCTGTGGAAGTAGAAAATACCATAAGGAGATAGAAACTAGAATTCAGTTTAAGAAAGATTAAAAGATGGTAAAGGTAATGAGAATGGTAATAAGGGCTCACTTTGGGGAAAGGGAAGGGATGTGCTGTTACTCTTTTCATTTGCCCGCACTTTTTTGTGATCTGAAGAGGAGGAAAAGTTGCAAAGTATGTGTATATGTATCTCTGAAATGGTCCTGCAAATAAATCCTGGGAACAATGTGCATCTTTTACTGTTTTTCTAAAGTGAGCTTTAGATACTGAGCTTTGAAAGCCTGTCTCTCTACTTTGACATGGGTTACAAGTTAAGAAGGATTTCTTGAATTGTTTGTTTCAAAAGTAAACTATTTTGCTTGTCCTATAGGAATTTGCTTGTCTTAACTGAAGAAAAGCATTTTTGACTTTGGAAACTTTTTTTTTTTTTACTCTTCCTTCAGAAGGGCAACTATTGCAGAGAAGAAAAAATAAATGGGGCTGATAGGGTACCACCCTTGAAGATGACCATTTAGTAAATTGTTCATGGAAGGAGGTAACCGTCACAAGATAAATCTCTTCATTTCTTTATGGGTGAATACACAGGTTGTGAAAACCATTAATAGGAAATCTGAAAATTGGATGCTGCTTCAATATAAAAAGGGCGAAAGGAAAAAAAAAAAAAGCATTGATGTATTTCTACTGGAATGATCATCAGTAGGAAGGAGAGTATATACACTGTTTTTCCCAGATAGTCCACTGTTTCCTGTAGGGATTTCCTTTCTCTTGTCTGCTTATGAGAAGAGTAGTAGGCTATTTGTCTTGACTACTACATTGAGTTAACAACTTTCAGCCTTCTCAGATGTGTCTGCTTCCAGAAAGATGTGAATGTTATTACACATGCTTTATTGTTAAAGCCTTACTTTACCTTAATTATCATTAATTTATCAGAAAAAGCAAAGACAAGCCAGCACAATGAGAGCAGCAACTTTTAATGTCATTATTTTCCAAATTTGGGATTTAAGATCTTTCCAAGGTTTTTCTTGGTCTCTGATTCCTCCCTCAGCTTCCATGGATTCTGGAGGGTTACCAAGATGCTAAGGGGGCTGGAGCAATTGCTGTAGAAGGAGAAGCTGAGGGAAAGGGGCTTGTTCAGCCTGAAGAAGAGACAGCCTCAAGATACCTAATGGCAGCCTTCCAGTACTGCGAGAAGGTTATTGCAAAGATGGAGTCAGTCCACAGTGGTGCATAGTGGGAGGATGAGAGGCAGCACACACAAGCTGAAACAAGAGCGTTTCCAGCTGGGCTTAAGGAAGAACCCAGGATGGTCAAACTGTGGAACAAGTTGCCCAGAGAGGTTGTGCTGACTCCATCCTTAGGTTTTCAAGACCAGGCAGGATAAAAGCCCTGAGCAATGTAGTCTGACCTCACAGCTGACCATACTTTGAGCAGGAATTGGACTAGAGATGACCTGAGGTGCCTTCCAGCCTGAGTTACCATATGGATCCCATAAAAGAGAGGAAAAGAAAACAAAAAACACGTTAGAAAATACCATATATCAGTATCGTGAACAGACTAACAAGTGGGTCGTCTGACGTGCCTGTGTACCAAAGACTCAGCACAAAGAGAATGGAAGCTCAGCTCATCTTCAGAAGCTGTCAAAAATTACCAAACTCCGATGATGGAAAAGGTAGTTAGATGAGCGGGTAGAAGTGAAGACTGTCTTCCTTTAGGAAGAGGTTTCTAAGAAGCAGAGATAGAGGTGATGCTGACAGCAGACTGAAGAAGGGCAACAACCAACGTGCACAGGCGTGTTTCCCACTTCCAACATTTGGTTACACTGGTAATTCTCATCTGGCATGATGATTGTTGTCACCTAGCTGCATCTGCCTCTCACTCAGTTGGAGACTGCTGTCCCCAGAGAGACATTCAAAGTAAGTCAGCACTAACAGTGAAACATCAACCAGAGAAAATCATGATTATTGATTCACAGCTTTGCTGTGATAAGGGCAGAAAGTCCTGATGTGGCAGAGAATAAAGAAGAGAGACTGGTGTTAATCGAAAATCACCAGGGTAATATCTTTACAAGTGCTTTTCTTTGTTCTGCTAACACGTCTTTTGTTTGTTAAATTTTTGGATGTTTTGAACAGGTTGAAATCCAAACTTAAGCTCAAAGATTTGATCTTCTTTTAACAGTCACTGTGTACACATCATGGTACGTTGCTGTAAATATTGCAATGATACCAGCCCTAAGCTATCAGGAGAGCGGTCAGAGCAGAATGGAAAGTTTCTGCATTGTAGCAGATCAAAAGGCAGCGAGTTGCAGACTTTGGGCAAGGTTTGTGTTCTTTTATCATGTAAACTTAAGAGTAAAGCTGAACATTAAGCACATACTTGAAGCTTAACTCTCTTAAAACAGGCAACCCAGGTACTTTATGCTAGGTAGAGAGTGGATCTCTACATTTCTGATGCTGATTTTTGATGAACCTTGAAATAGTGAGTAAATTCTTACAGACTAAAATAACACTGAAGTGCCAATTTCAAAGTGATGTGAGGAGGTCCTGTCCAAATGTGGTCTAGACAGCCTGAGATCAGCCCTGGACCTCGTATCAGAAAAACTGTTGAAGGAAATGGCTAAAAGAAAATTAAAAGCCTGGAAGGTTAATTATTAATGACAAAGGACAGAATAGGTCTTATCAAATGAATATGGGAGGAGATTGCAACTTTTTAGCCGATTAAGGAACAAATGGATATGTTTCAGCATCTTTAAGCCTTTTCTGTTTCATTGCATTCTGATTTTAAATATGTATTTTACAATATCAACAGGTTGTGTGTTAAAGGGTTATGAACTGTTTACTGCTGAATCAAAAATAGTTTTTGGGGCATTATCAGTGACTGAACAGCTGCATCAAGTAAGATGTACTTCTGTTTAATGTTTTTTTCAATAACCCAGAAGAAAAGTAAAAAATATTTTAAAGTGATCCTGGTTAGAAAAGAAGTAGACAATTAAAAGGACAGATTAATGTGGATTGCTTGGCAAGCAGGGCATGTCCAAAAAATTTTATAGTTAAACTACACATCTTTTGAACAGAGAATTCAAGCTACACTTACAGGAGGTAAGACTATATGCTGAAAATGTAGGATCCTAAAAATGATCTGGGTGTCGAGGTGGACAAGAACTGCGTATGTCTTCTACATGGT